GGAACCTGCCTGCTAACTGGTGTCAGAGGGGAAGCCGTGTTAGTCAATGTGACGAAGTGAGGGATTTTTTTGTTTCTTCCTTGTTTTTCCAATGGTTTGCATGCAGAGGGGGGTGGGACTCGGTTTCCCTGGGTGTTACTGGTTTAACAAGGTGATGGGAGAGGGAGTTTGTTGTTACAGAGGACCAGCGAGAGAACTTGGGACCCCAGCCAATGCCCTGGAGAATGGAGACCCCAGTGACTGGTGACAGGGAGGCCCAGCTCAGGAGTCGCAGCTGGGTCTGGCCAGTGGGAAGACAATGGGCTACAAAAGGAGGACCCTGGTGAACTGCTCAGCCAGTTCCAGCCAGAGGGGCCAGAGGACAGAAGAGGGGAGAGGGGGCCCAGGTGTCACGGAGTCCCCAGGCGATGCTCTGGAACTGCTCCCCATGAAGCCAGTCAGGACTCTGGGGAAGTCTCCTTTCTGGGAGCAGCCTGTCTTCAGGACACACAGCTCACACAGCTTCCACCATCCTGGGTCTGACCTCGGAGCATTCAGCATCCTCTGCCCCTCTGTGCGCATCCCCCAGCGAGTCCGCCCAGGTGGGGTCCTGGGGCAGCCAGAGGGTGCAGGGAGGGATAGCTCAGTGGTTTGAGCATTAGCCTGCTAAACCCAGGTTGTGAGTGTCACGGAGTCCCTGGGCGATGCTCTGGAACTGCTCCCCATGAAGTCAGTCAGGACTCTGGGGCAGTCGCCTTTCTGTGAGCAGCCTGTCTGCAGGACACACAGCTCACACAGCTTCCACCTTCCTGGGTCTGACCTCGGAGCATTCAGCATCCTCTGCCCCTCCGTGCGCTTCCCACAGCGAGTCCGCTCAGGCGGGGCTCCTGGGGAAGCCAGAGGGTCCTGCACCCCAACTTCGCAGTCAGACGTGACTCTCAGCCAGCCAGTAAAACAGAAGGTTTATTAGACGACAGGAACATGGTCTAACACAGAGCTTGCAGGTGCAGAGAACGGGACCCCTCAGCTGGGTCCATTTTGGGGGGCAGTGAGCCAGACAACCACGTCTGCACTTCACTCCATGTCCCAGCCAGCCCCAAACTGAAACTCCCTCCAGCCCCTCCTCCTCTGGGCTTTGTTCCTTTCCCGGGCCAGGTGGTCACCTGATTCCTTTGTTCTCCAACCCTTCAGCTCTCACCTTGCAGGGGGGGAAGGGCCCAGGCCATCAGTTGCCAGGAAACAGGGTGTCGGCCATTCTCTGTGTCCAGACCCCTGCACACACCTGCCCTCTAGGGCTCTGCAATGATCATACACCCTTACTCCACCCCCTAGATACTTAAGAACTGCCTAGGGGAAACTGAGGCACCCCCACACTATTCAGAGGAAACATTAAGAACAGTCCCACTTCGTCACATCTCTCCCCCCTTCGAGATCGAACTGAGCGGGGTCACTTTAGCCGGTGACCTGGGGAAGTTCGAAGCCACCAACGTTCCCATGGATGCCCCAGCATCTCTCCCATTCCTTGGTAGGAGTTACACCAGGCCCTTCCAGTTTCACGCCCTCCCTTAGGTCAGGGGTGGTCGATAGCACTCGCAGGCCGCATGTGGGAAGGTTTATGCAGCCCCTGCCCTTTGGCCACCCCAAGAATGTCTCCCCATTGACCATCACCTTCTGCTCCCACTGGAGGTCCGGGGGGCCTGGCCCCAGGAAACTCCACACAGACATACAGGTTGGGGTCAGGAGTGGGAGCCCGTCCACATCCCCAACCATCTGGCTGACGGAGTCTATGGCCTTGGGACCCAGCAAGGGAGCTAGACACCGGGGCTTTTCCGCAGGGTCCCCTTGGTTCAAATCTCCAGCCTGCTCAAAGGCAGTGAGGTGGGCATCCACACACACCCCCCTTAACCAGGGGCAGCAATTTAGTCTCGAGGTTCCCTGCGGAACTGGCCCCCCGGGATCTATCCCCACTCACCCCGGGGAGGTCCCCTAGGCCTCTCCGCTCCCCCACCGCCAGTTCATGCTGCTGCTGCTTCTGCAGCTCTTTCTCGGGCTCTCGCTGTCTCCCATGGTCCTCTTGCTCTCTCAGACTCAGCTCCAATCCCGTCCGTCTCGATCCCCCGATGGGGAACCCGATCGTGAAGACCCCCGTCTGGTCGGGGACAGGAGTCTTGGCGATGCCTGGCTCCCACTCCAGCTGCTCCCAGATCCTGCTATAGCCCCAGTTGGGGTCAGGAATCTGTTCCTTAGAGCAGTCATCCTCCTCCAGCTGCACGATTAACTCTGCTTTGGTGAACTTTCCAACGCTCAACCCTCTCTTTCTGCACCGGGTTACAATGTCCTTCTTAAGGAGACGGTGACAGGCCATCACTCCGCTCCTCCCAAGTTGTTGTGGACTCACAGGCCCGTGTGTTCTCAGCTCCCCACGGTTTCCAGGGAGAACCCCTAGTGTGCCAGCCCTTCTCGAGGTCACCACCTCTTTGCCAGGGTCGAGCTGCAGACTCCTCCGCCCCTTGGACTGCTCACTGCAATCCCCAGGGGAACCCTGTTACTGCACAGTCCTTCTCGCTGGTCACACACTCCCAGGGGTTAACCGCCCCCCCGAAACCGCTCCTCTCTGAGCCTTCAGCAGGCCTGGTCCTCGGCAATCCCCCTTCGTGTTACTGCTCCCCAGTCACTTACTGCAGGAAGCACCATCCACAGGGTGCAGTACATCCCACCGCTGCCACCAGTTGTCACGGAGTCCCTGGGCGATGCTCTGGAACTGCTCCCCATGAAGTCAGTCAGGACTCTGGGGCAGTCGCCTTTCTGTGAGCAGCCTGTCTGCAGGACACACAGCTCACACAGCTTCCACCTTCCTGGGTCTGACCTCGGAGCATTCAGCATCCGTGCGCTTCCCACAGCGAGTCCGCTCAGGCGGGGCTCCTGGGGAAGCCAGAGGGTCCTGCACCCCAACTTCGCAGTCAGACGTGACTCTCAGCCAGCCAGTAAAACAGAAGGTTTATTAGACGACAGGAACATGGTCTAACACAGAGCTTGCAGGTGCAGAGAACGGGACCCCTCAGCTGGGTCCATTTTGGGGGGCAGTGAGCCAGACAACCACGTCTGCACTTCACTCCATGTCCCAGCCAGCCCCAAACTGAAACTCCCTCCAGCCCCTCCTCCTCTGGGCTTTGTTCCTTTCCCGGGCCAGGTGGTCACCTGATTCCTTTGTTCTCCAACCCTTCAGCTCTCACCTTGCAGGGGGGGAAGGGCCCAGGCCATCAGTTGCCAGGAAACAGGGTGTCGGCCATTCTCTGTGTCCAGACCCCTGCACACACCTGCCCTCTAGGGCTCTGCAATGATCAGACACCCTTACTCCACCCCCTAGATACTTAAGAACTGCCTAGGGGAAACTGAGGCACCCCCACACTATTCAGAGGAAACATTAAGAACAGTCCCACTTCGTCACAGTGAGTTCAATCCTTGAGGGGGTGATTTAGGGATTTGGGGCAAAAATTGGGGATTGGTCCTGCTTTGAGTAGGGGGTTGGACTAGATGACCTCCTGAGGTCCCTTCCAATCCTGATAGTCTATGATTCCTGCACCCCAACTCCGCAGTCAGACGTGACTCTCAGCCAGCCAGTAAAACAGAAGGTTTATTAGACGACAGGAACATTGTCTAACACAGAGCTTGTAGGTGCAGAGAACAGGACCCCTTAGCTGGGTCCATTTTGGGGGGCAGTGAGCCAGACAACCCCGTCTGCTCTTCGCTCCTCGTCCCCAGCCAGCCCCAAACTGAAACTCTCCCCAGCCCCTCCTCCCCTGGGCTTTGTCCCTTTCCCGGGCCAGGAGGTCACCGGATTCCTTTGTTCTCCAATCCTTCAGCTCTCACCTTGGCGGGGGGAGGGGCCCAGGCCACCAGTTGCCAGGAAACAGGGTGTCGGCCACTCTCTGTGTCCAGACCCCTGCACACACCTGCCCTCTAGGGCTCTGCAACGATCATACACCCTTATCCCCCCACCTAGATACTTAAGAACTGCATAGGGGAAACTGAGGCACCCCCACACTATTCAGAGGAAACATTAAGAACAGTCCCACTTCGTCACAGCAGGCACTGCTTGCCCACTCATTGGGTGTCTCAGTGCTGGGGCTGTTTCCTGCCCAGCCGGTTGCCCTGTCCATTCCTGGCACGTGGTGAGCAGGGCGTGAGTTGGTCTTTGCTCTGGCCACCCTGCCCCTGCTCCGTTCTTGGCCTGACCTGGTGATGATGGTGCTGGGCTTTGCTGGGGGCCCTCATGATGGAGCGCCTCATTGGGGTCCCCATGTAGGTTGGGGGGTCACTGGCTGGGGGGCCTGGAGACAGCAGGCTGTGCTCCCCACTGGCTTGTCCCTCCTGCTGGATCCATGGGGCGCCTGCCCAGAGCTCCCTCCCACCCTTCCCCCTTCCCCTCACCCCTGTTTGCCCTGCATGGAGCTGTAGGAAGAGGATCTGGCTTGAAGGGGACCTGGATCAGGGATGGGGAGCCCGAGATGGGGACCGAGCAACAAACATCAGAGCTTCAGCATGCAGCCCTGGCCTCCCAGGTCAGCCTCCCCCCTGCCCATTGCTGCTAATGAGATGCCACCCCCGGGGAGAGGGTATTTCTCTGCCCTGGGGCACCCTGCAGGATCAGGCCCTAGCAAAGAGAGTGGCATGGAGCATCCAGGCTGTATCTGGCTGAGCCGAGCTGAGTGACATCCCTGGGAGCAAGGCCCCAGAGCTAGGCAGCATGAGAGCAGGGACTGGGAGCTGGCAGGTGCATCTGGTCTGGAAGGACCAGCTGATGACAGCTCTGCAGCTGGGAGGTGGAAATGGAAGCCAAATCCCCCACCCCCTGCGGAGGAGCGGCTGTGGGGATGACACATAATGCCCTGTTATAAACAGTTGTCACAGCCCACTCCAGAGATGGCTGCATTTAGTGATGGGAGAGGAGGCAGCAGGGGGCTGGGAGGGCCAGCGGACAATGACCCTAGCATCATAGGGTGAGATCACAGAGACGTTAGGTCGATACTGATCCTTTATTGCCCAAAGCGGGGAGGAGAAGCGAAAGTCAGAGGCGTTAATGCTGCCATCCCAGCCGTCACACACCGGGGGGCGCTGTCGGAGCTGGGGGGGAGCAGTGGAGGCATGCCCGGAGCCAGCGGGGGAGCTGCCCACTGTGGATGTGGGTGCACGAGTCCAGGCCTGGAGAAGAGGAGGAGAGGGGTCAGTGCGTGCCAGCAGAGGTGCCCCCGGGGGAGGGTGCAGGGTGCAATGGGGGGCCATGGGGCTGGGCTGGGCTGAGAGCCCAAGGCCTGTGCCAGGGATCTGATGGCCAGGGGCACTGGCAAGTGTCTGGCCTGGCACAGCGCTGCCCTCGCCCATGGACACCATCACTAGCAAAGGCCCCCCCAACCCCTGCCTATGGTGCTCACCTCATGGCCATGCCCAGGTGTTGGTGCCAGAGCTGGCCTCGTCTCGGGTGGGCTCCTCCGGCAGCTGGCAGGCATCTGCGTCCTGGGGAGAAGGGACACTGCGTCTCCGAGGGCATTGCCAGCATGGGGCTGCAGGAGGAAGGTGCCCAGGGCCCCCTGCACTCGGGGGGGGGGGATCCTGGCAGGGGGGCAGGGATCCCAGTGGCTGGGGGAGGCAGGGACCCCAGTAGTGTGGATGGAGGGGGGGGCCCAAGGATCCCATTGTGTGAGCGGGCGGGGGGGGGTGGGAGGGGAGGCATTCCAGAGGCAGGGATGGATGGCGGCGGGAGGCCTGGGGACCCCAGCGGGGAGGACAGGGTGACAGGCTCCCTTCCCGCCCCCCTGGGAGCTTGGCCAGTTTACCATAGCGATGTCTACCCCTCTCACTGGGGTGGCCCTGCAGTGACCCCCTATGGCCCCACAGCCTGTGCAAGGAGCCGCAGGGACCCCGGGCACTCGGCTCCCCACGGCGACTGGGCCATGGACGAGGTTTGTCAGCTGCTGTGAGCGAGGTCCCAGTACCGCTCCCTTAGCTCCGGCACTTCGGGTCCGTGGGCAAAGAAGGGGCCCTTTGTGCATTGCCCCAGATGCCAGCCCACTGTGTCTGGGGCAGAGCCGTGGGCACTGCCCATTCTGAGGGGGGTGAGCAGGAACCCATGCCCACTGAGGGGCTCACCCCTCACCGCCACCCTCAGGCCACAGCCAGGTGCGGGGAGAGTGGGAGGGGTGGTGGCATCACGCCTGCCCCATCTCTGCAGCCTGAGATCTTTGCCCCCCAGCTAATGCTGATTCCCTGAGACTTGTTTCACAGGATGGTATCGCTGCTGGGGGTGGTTTGTAACTAATCCCCCAGCTCTTCTCGCTGGCCCATCACCCGCTCCAATCTCTTACCCGACAGGTGGTGAGCGGGTCCTGGGGCACCCTCAGAACCCGCAGCAGCCTGGCGTGGTAGGTCGAGACGAAGTCGTTGCACTGCAGGGAGACGTAGAGCCTGGCTCATGGCCCCCACTTCACAGAGGTGTCGACTGCCCCCTCCTAGAGAGTGACCTCACCGACCCCCAGCTCTGCCCGGAGAAAAGAACCCAGGAGTCCTGGCTCCCTCCCAGCCCCCCTGCTCTAACCACTAACCCCACTCCCATCCCAGAGCCAGGGATAGAACCCAGGAGTCCTGGCTCCCAGCTCCCTGCGGCTCTGACCCCTAGGCTCCACTGCTCTCTCACGGCTGGGAAAAGAATCCAGGAGTCCTGGCATCTAAATCCTCCCCAGCTCTAACCACTAGACCCCACATCTGAGCCAGGCTGGTGCTTTTCTAACACGTACTTCAGCCCCTGCCCCCACAGCCCTGCTTGGGGTGGATGAGTCCTCTGGGGCACTGTCCCACGCCCCATGGAGATGGCTGGAGACCCTCCCTTCTCCTAGAGCCAGTAGAGGGCTGGCCTGTGGGACCCCGAGCAGATCTGAGCCGTTCTACTGACCCTGGGGGAACCCCCAAAGTGCCGCTTGCATGTGCCATTCAGGACGTCTCCAAGGTCCCAGCCAGGCCTCACGTGCTGCAGGTCAGGCTGGGCCAGGCTGGTGAGGGTCAGGCAGAAGTCACAGGCATCTCTGGGGGGCACCAGGCCGCCTGGCACATGGAAAACAAGGATCTCACCCTCTCCCCTCTGGGGCATAGTGCCTGCCCCCTGAGGCCCTGCCCTCCTCTCCTAAACCCACGGGGAGACTGCCCACCACCCCAGGGGCCCCTCCAGCAGCGGGTGGGAGCAGGACCAGCACAGTCAGCTCTACGGTGCTCCCCTCCTGACATGTGGGGCCTGGCCGGGGGCTGAGCGGTCACTCGGGGCCAGGGCACAGCCCTCGGGCAGCAGCTGTCACTTAGAGCCACCCCAGGGCTGCTCTGCAGTACAGGGGTGCAGCCAGCTTGCAAGTTGCCAGTGGCACCGATTCCGGTACCTGCTCATCCCCCCCTGCCCCCGGGAAGGACTCTAGTTTGATCCCCACTCATTCCCCCCTGCCACAGGCACCCCAGGTCTCCCTCAGCTGGGGGGGGTGTCTCCCCTCTGTCCTGCATAGAGCGTGTGAGCCCATGCCCCCAGGGATCAGGCCATACCCCCACTGGCCAGGGCGACTGGCTCAGATTTCTCTGGCGTTGTGCCCAGCAGGGACAGCAACGCCCCAGGCTGGCAGCAGCCGGCTGATGCCCCCTGACGCCACAGCAGAGGGAACAAGTGGGAAAACCTTGGGTGGGTGGGGACGCCCGGCACATCCTCAGGCTGGTACAGATCTCCTTGGGCTCCAGCCCGTCCTGCAGCGCCTGCATGATCTTGGACTTGAACTTCTTCATCACAGAGCGGCAGAGGGGCCGCAGACTCCAGCCCACGGCCCTGCACAGCTTCTCCTCGGCCTTGGTGATGGAGTCCTGTGTGACACCGGCCCGGCCCGGGGTTAGGACACAGCATGGGACGTCCCTCCACTGCCTGAAGGGGGCGCTCGCTGGGCCCCGCCCTGGCACCGCGGTCCTTGCAGGATGTGTCATCTCTACGGGATGCTGGGCCTGGGGAGGGGCTCCCCCCGCCAGGGGAGAGACACGGGCTGTGTCTGGGATTGGGAGAACCCTGACCCCAGGGGGCTGTGTGGGTGGCAGGTGGAGACGGGGACAGTAGGATCTAGACCCTCCTTTCCCTCCTGGTTGTACCAGGGCACTGGGTGCTGCCCATGCCCCCTGGCACCGGTGGCAGACGGCGATGGAGCAGATGCCCCCTGCTCCCCACAGGCTCCCCACATCCTGGTCTCAGAGCCCACCTGCTGCCCCGCCCCCCCGCCCCACTCCCCATAGGTGCTGGAGCCGGGGCCCTGGTGTACCACTGGGGAGATCCTCCCGAGACCCAGGGAGGCTGGGCTCAGTCCCTGGGCTGCCCCAGGGCCCTCACCTCGTCGGGGTCGTCGCCGACCATAGACTTCAGCTTCTTCAGGATGCGGGTGCAGATGGTGCACTTGGGGGAAAGGGCCTGCTCCTGGATGCGCCAGCCCTGCTGTGCCAGACACAAACCCGGGGTCACCACCCGGAGTGCCCCACATCACCCTGAGCCCCCTCCCCCCACTGACCCCTAAGCCTCCCAGCCCTGAGCCCCCTGAGTCCCGTGACCCACACAGACCCTCAGCCTCCCAGCCCTGAGCCCCCTGACCCCACGGACCCCTCAGCCTTCCAGCCTTGAGCCCCCTCAGCCGCCTGGCCCCCACTGACCCCTAAGCCTCCCAGCCCTGAGCCCCCTGACCCCACGGACCCCTCAGCCTTCCAGCCTTGAGCCCCCTCAGCCGCCTGGCCCCCACTGCCCCCTCAGCCTCCCAGCCCTGAGCCCTCTGCCCCCCATGAACCCCTCAGCCTCCCATCCCTGAGCCCCCTGCCCCCCACAGACCTCTCAGCCTCCCAGCCCTGAGCCCTCTGCCCCCCATGAACCCCTCAGCCTCCCATCCCTGAGCCCCCTGCCCCCCACAGACCTCTCAGCCTCCCAGCCCTGAGCCCCCTGACCCCACGGACCCCTCAGCCTTCCAGCCTTGAGCCCCCTCAGCCGCCTGGCCCCCACTGACCCCTAAGCCTCCCAGCCCTGAGCCCCCTGAGTCCCGTGACCCACATAGACCCTCAGCCTCCCAGCCCTGAGCCCCCTGCCCCCCACAGACCTCTCAGCCTCCCAGCCCTGAGCCCTCTGCCCCCCATGGACCCCTCAGCCTCCCAGCCCTGAGCCCCCTGCCCCCCACAGACCTCTCAGCCTCCCAGCCCTGAGCCCCCTGACCCCACGGACCCCTCAGCCTTCCAGCCTTGAGCCCCCTCAGCCGCCTGGCCCCCACTGCCCCCTCAGCCTGCCAGCCCTGAGCCCCAACCCCCCACATCACCCAGCCCCCTTTGGAGCTGGGATGGGATCAGAGCAAGGGGCGCGAGCCCCCGGCTCACCTGGGGCATTTGCTGCTCGAGGAGCTTGCAGTCGTGCTGCCGTCCACACTGAGCTGCTGTGCCCGGATCCCTGCACCAAAACTCAGGGCCCAGCAGGCATTGCTTGGGGACCAGCTCCCGGGCACAGAGGGCTGCAGAAAGAGGGGCACAGCAAGGAACAAAACCGGACTGGGTTGGGAGTACGGTAGCTGGTGGGACTTATTTATTATATGCTACAGCAGCACCAAGATCAGGGCCCCATTGTGCCGGGCGCTGCCCAGACCCCAACCGAGATCAGGGTCCTATCATCCTAAGTGCTGCCTAGACCCAACCGAGAAACTGAAGAATTTGAAGCCAAGGGTGATTCAGTGATTAGTCCAAGAGGGCTGGGATGTAGACCAGAACTGAACCCAGTTCTAAACCCTACCCCACTGGGCTTGGGTCAACTCGGTTTGGAGCCGGTGATGGGCATGACTTTGCCAGTTCCAGAAAAATCGGTCAAGAAACCAAGGGTCTGGAATAGACAGATCACCTTGGGTGCTCCCTGAGGCACTGGGGCCCCGGCCCGGGCACTGAACCAGGATTGGCTGCAGCTGGGATCGGGGGGCACCTGGCCAGAGCGCAGCGCTGGGATTGGCTGCAGCCAGGATCGGGGTCACCTAGTGTGACCATACATCCCGTTTTGGCCGGGACAGTCCCTTTTTTAAGCCCTGTACCAGCCATCCTGACTTCTTTGGCGAAAGGGGGCATTTGTCTAGTTTGCTCTTGCCGACTTGATCAAACAGGGACAACTGCCCACCTTTGTCAAAAAGTGGGAGCAGGGGAATGTGTGTGTGTCTGAGGGTGAGCAGAGATGCCAGCCCTTCACAGGGAAGAGGGCTTGGGCGAGCAGCTGGGACCAGCCCCGCATGGGGAGGAGTGGGAGGCTTGGGGTAGCCCAATGCAGTATCACGTTTTCCTACTGAGAAATATGGTCACCTGGCCAGGGCGCTGTGCTGGGATTGGCTGCAGCCGGGATCGGGGCACCTGGCCAGGGCGCTGTGCCGGGATTGGCTGCAGCCGGGATCGGGGCACCTGGCCAGGACGCTGTGCTGGGATTGGCTGCAGCTGGGATCGGGGCACCTGGCCAGGTCGCTGTGCCGGGATTGGCTGCAGCCGGGATCGGGGCACCAGGCCAGGACGCTGTGCTGGGATTGGCTGAGTCAGGACCAGCTGTGCCTGCACATGGCAGGAGGCTCCCCTGGAATGGGTGGGCCCTCACTGTGCTGGTAACCCCCTTGTATTGGGGTGAGGCTCATATGCCCCCAGGGGCAGAGAGAGGGGAGGCAGGTGCTGTCAGGGCAGTTGCCAGGCCCTGGGGTGCTGTCTTGGGGAAGGGTCTGATTCTGCCCTGGGGCTCCCCCCTGTAGGCCCCCCCAAGGACTGTACCGGGGAGGTGCCCCTGCTGGTGACACCTGCCGGCGGCTGCTTACCTGAGCCCAGCCAGAAGAGCAGGAGGAGAGGGGCCATGTCAGCGCTGACAGGACACTGCCTGCGATGTGCCCCCCCCTGTCAGAGTCACTTCCCCCCGCCCTGGCCTTGGCCCCGCCCTTAACTGTGATCTGTGGGGTTTCGCTAGCCCCAAAGCTGCTCAGCACATTTCCTGCCTTGCTCTGCAGGCGGGGGAGTGACAGCAGCCTTGGGCCCTGGGCCCCTCCAGCCCTGCCTGGCACCAGGGGCATCCTCTGGCCTCCACCACATCCATGCCCCCCATGTCTCATAGGCCAGTGCTGGGGTGAGGGGTTGTAACGGGTGCCCAGGCTCAGTGCTCTGGAACGGCTCTGACTGGTTCAGACAGGCCCCTCTGGCAGTGTGACACCCCTTGGCGCGCCCCCTCGGCTCCAGCATCTCCCGGGACCAACTCGGAGCGTTCGGCCCCCTGCTCACCCCGTGAGCTCCCAGCAATGAGCCTGCCTGGATGGGACCCCTGGGGAAGCCTGAGGCCCACAAAGGGCCCTGCCCCCAAGCTTGCACTGACTCCCAGCCAGCGTGTGACACAGACAGGAGCACAGCGTAGAACAGAGCTTGTTAGCACCGAAAGCAGGAAGGTTCAGCAAAGTCCAAGGCCTGCCCCCCAGGCCTCAGGCAGTGCCGGGGGTGGGGCTCCCACCCCTCCCTGCCCCCCAGGCCTCGGACAGTGCCGGGGATGGGGCTCCCACCCCTCCCTGCCCCCCAGGCCTCGGGCAGTGCCGGGGATGGGGCTCCCACCCCTCCCTGCCCCCCAGGCCTCAGGCAGTGCCGGGGATGGGGCTCCCACCCCTCCCTGCCCCCAGGCCTCAGGCAGTGCCGGGGATGGGGCTCCCACCCCTCCCTGCCCCCCAGGCCTCGGACAGTGCCGGGGATGGGGCTCCCACCCCTCCCTGCCCCCCAGGCCTCGGGCAGTGCCGGGGATGGGGCTCCCACCCCTCCCTGCCCCCCAGGCCTCGGGCAGTGCCGGGGATGGGGCTCCCACCCCTCCCTGCGCCCCAGGCCTCGGGCAGTGCCGGGGATGGGGCTCCCACCCCTCCCTGCCCCCCAGGCCTCGGGCAGTGCCGGGGATGGGGCTCCCACCCCTCCCTGCCCCCCAGGCCTCGGGCAGTGCCGGGGATGGGGCTCCCACCACTCCCTGCCCCCCAGGCCTCAGGCAGTGCTGGGGGACAGGGTTCACACCCCCGCGCTCTCAGCTCACCCAGCCTGGCTGCTCACGTATTTTTCCACCACAAAGACAGAGCTGAGAAACCAATACCCCTTCCCTTCCTGTGGTCCCACGGCTCTGCAAAGCGCGGCTTGCAGGGGGCAGGAGGATGCTGTGGGGGTTGCTGAGGGAGGGGCTCTGGGGCTGGTGCCCAGTGGGATACTCAGAGTCACCCCTCACCAGAGACCCCTGGAGCCCCAAACCCAGGCCAAGCAAACCTGGCTGCTGCTGAAAGGGGGCTGACAACTCAGCAGGGAGTGCACCCCTCACTCTCAGTGCTGGCCCCAGTGTGCTGCTGGGAGGTGCCGTGCTGCGGGGGGGGGGGCGCTCAGCATGGGGCACCATCCTTCAGGAGGAGGAGTAGGGGGCTCAGCGGGGGGGGGGGGGGGCTCGGCAGGGGGCGCCGTGCTGCAGTGGGGCGGAGTGGGGGGCTTGGCAGGGGGGTGGGGGTTCAGCAGGGGGTGCCGTGCTGCAGTGGGGGCGGGGTGGGGGGCTCGGCAGGGGGGTGGGGGTTCAGGAGGGGGTGCCGTGCTGCAGTGGGGGCGGGGTGGGGGGCTCGGCAGGGGGGTGGGGGGCTCGGCAGGGGTTGCCATGCTGCAGTGGGGGCGGGGTAGGGGGCTCGGCAGGGGGGTGGGGGTTCAGAAGGGGGTGCCGTGCTGCAGTGGGGGCGGGGTGGGGGGGCTCGGCAGGGGGCGCCGTGCTGCAGTGGGGGCGGGGTGGGGGGGCTCGGCAGGGGGTGGGGGTTCAGGAGGGGGTGCCGTGCTGCAGTGGGGCGGGGTGGGGGGCTCGGCAGGGGGGTGGGGGTTCAGCAGGGGGTGCCGTGCTGCAGTGGGGCGGGGTGGGGGGCTCGGCAGGGGGTGGGGGTTCAGAAGGGGGTGCCATGCTGCAGTGGGGGCGGGGGTGGGGGGGCTCGGCAGGGGGGTGGGGGTTCAGGAGGGGGTAGTGGGGCGGGGGTGGGGGGATCGGCGGGGGGGTGGGGGTTCAGCAGGGGGTGCCGTGCTGCAGTGGGGGCGGGGTGGGGGGCTCGGCAGGGGTTGCCATGCTGCAGTGGGGCGGGGTGGGGGGCTCGGCAGGGGGGTGGGGGTTCAGAAGGGGGTGCCGTGCTGCAGTGGGGCGGGGTGGGGGGCTCGGCAGGGGGGTGGGGGTTCAGGAGGGGGTGCCGTGCTGCAGTGGGGCGGGGTGGGGGGCTCGGCAGGGGTTGCCGTGCTGCAGTGGGGCGGGGTGGGGGGCTCGGCAGGGGGGTGGGGGTTCAGCAGGGGTTGCCATGCTGCAGTGGGGCGGGGTGGGGGGCTCGGCAGGGGGCGCCTTGCTGCAGGGGGTGGAGGCTCAGCGGGGGGGGGTGCTCTCCCTGAGTCAGTGCTGACCCCAATGCCCCAGGCAGCGCTGGGGGTGCTGTGCTGCTGGGAGGTGCTCTCAGGCGGTGACAGGCAGCCCTGGTCTCTAATTGGTGTTCATCTCCCCGGGATGTCACCCAAAGCTGGGTGTGAGCATAGGTGCCTGCCCAGGGTCTGACGCAGATGAAGCCATTCTGCCCTCTTCACTTCCTCTGCAGCTTCCAGTCAATTCAGACGTCAACAATTCTCCCCTACCCCACTCTGGGCTGTTGGTGGGTGCAGTGAAGCAGCTGTCTTGCCCCACCCCAGAGGTGGCTGCAATGCAGTTCAGGGTGATTTCTGTGCCTACCAGGCCAGATTCACCATGTCAGCCATGACCACTAATGGGCATCACATACAACAGCCAACCAAACGTTCTGCACACAATTCACCTAACCATCTCCAACTCTCTGGCCATGTGGTGTGAGTGTACGTTTGGCTAATGAAGATAATAGCGGTGACGTAAGAGGCTCAGACATCTGACTGGGCACCACATGACATGTTGATCACAAAACTAGAAAGCTATAACATCACCAAGGGCACACAAAACTGGATGTAAAGCCCGATAAGGCTCAAAAATCGTTGGAAACGGGGAATCATCTGAGAGAGGGCGTGTTTCCAGAGGGGTCTCACAGGGATTGGTTCTTGGCCCTCTGCTACTTAACGTGTATCTATGACCTGGAAGAAAACTTAAAATCATCCCTGATAAAGTTTGCAGATGACACAGGAATTTGGGGAGTGGGAAATAATGAAGAGGACCAGGCATTGCTAGAGTGATCTGCCTTGCTTGGTAAACTGGGCACAAGCGAATATGGGTTTTAATACAGCTAAATGTAAATGTGCATATCTGGGAACAAAGCATGCAGGCTGTACTGACAGGCTGGGGGACTCTATCCTGGGAAGCAGGGACTCTGAAAAAGATTTGGGGTTCTTGGTGGATAATCAGCAGAACATGAGCGCCCCATGTGATGCTGTGGCCAAAAGAGCTAATGTGACCCAGGGATGCATAAACAGGGGAATCTCCAGCAGAGAGGAGATTTTCCCTCTGTATTTGGCACTGTTGTGACTGCGACCAGAATCCTGTGTCCGGTTCTGGTGCCCACAATTCAAGGAGGGGTGTTGATAAATTGGAGAGGGGGGCAGAGAAGAGCCACGAGAATGATGAAAGGATTAGAAAACCTGCCGTAGAGTGAGAGACTCAAGGAGCTCTGTCTATTTAGCTCAACAAGGAGAAGGTGAAGGGGTGACTTGATCTCAGTCTGTCAGTACCTACATGGGGAACGAATATTTAATACTGGGCTCTTCAGTCTAGCAGAGGAAGGTCTAACACCATCCAAGGGTGGGAAGTCAAAGCTAGACAACTCCCTACTGGAAACAAGGTGGACATTTGTACCAGTGACAGTAATTAACCATGGGAACAATTTGCCCAGGGCTATGGTGGATTCTCCATCCCTGGCCATTCTTAAATCAAGACTGGCTCTTTTTCATACAGATCAGTGCTAGGGATTGTTGTGGGCAGGTCTCTGGCCTGTGCTATGCAAGGGATCAGATCAGGTGAACACACTGGTCCCATCGGGCCTGGGAATCTCTGAATGTAGCAGAGCTCTGACTCGTGCTCTGGGACGGTTCCTACAGGAATATGGGGCCTGGGGCGAGAGCAACCACAGAATCCTGACCTGCAGCTCCCACTGCTCCCGGCGCTGCTCTAACGATGTCCCTCAGTCTCAACCCACAGCCCCCTGCTATCCCAGCCCCGGGATCCCCAGCGCTCATTGCATTGCTGGTTCCTCTCCATCCCGAGCTGCAGCCGCCAAAGCGGGCTTTCACCCCTGCTAAGCAGAAAGTCTGACAATCGGGTGTAATTGTGGCTTTTTAGGTGGACAAATAGCTAACGGAGACTAGCCTGAGAACAGCCAAACTCGGTGCAGTCATGACCTGAGTGAGCTCTTGGACCCAGAATGTTTAGTGCCTGGATCACCCTGGGCCTCCCTGTGATCTCCCCCAGATGCCCTGGTCTGAGGAAAGGAGGGCCTGGTCAGCTCTGGCACCCTCCCCTTACCCCATTTCCAGCGGGGCTCTCCTAGAGAGGGGGTTGGGACACATCAGGAACCTGAGTTCTATTCTGGGCTCTGCATGAGCTAGGGCAAATCCTTCCCCTTCTCTGTGCCTCAGTTTCCCCCTACACTGAGGTGTGACCCTGCCCCAAGGGGGTCACAGGCCACCATGTCAGCTCAGCCCAGCTCCAGTCCCTCCTGCAGAGCTGAGGGTTTGTGGCCTCACTGGGTCCTGGGGGACTTAGTGGCTCGTGTTCCCTTTTGCAGACATGTGGGGGCGGATTGGAGGGGGGCTGTCCCCTCCCCAATTGGTGAATACCCGGGACACATTCAAGCTCGGGGAGGCGCAGTTCCCCATTCCCACCACTAGATGGACCCACAG